AAAAAAAAAAAAAAAATGACGGAGCTAAAATTATCCGCACATCAGTAAGTTAGTTAATTATCTGCCAGCAGCTCGTTAAAAATGTAGTTAATAGACTGTTACAGAATTGCTTATTTTCCCTATTACAAGTAAGAGTTAGTGTTTGGAGAGCACGAGAGAAGCGTAAGAGTTGCTTGGGACGCAGCCAAGAGCAACTTTAACATTTACGATAGCTTCTCTCATGCCCTTCAATCTTTCAAGTTAATTAGTTGGTTTAAACATGAAATGAACTGATGACCAGAGACATTCCAGTACCTTTTGGCTCTGATAGTAAGCTGGTAAAAAGTGCGAAAGGAACGGTTTGTAAGAAAGAACTGACACGTCCATAAAACAATCATACAGGTACCTTTTATGGATTGCTTTCAAAATTTCCAACGATTGTTTAACGGTAAGTCACCCCGGGATACAGTGTATGTTACGTTCTCTCAGTGCTCAATATCTATATAGCAGATTTCTACTCCCTGAATATTCCTGTGAGGTTTTTAGTAATTTTAGGTCTTGGGTTCTTTTATTGTCAAGTGAAAGCGACGGTGGTCTCGAATTCAACTCCTCCACGTCTTGTAAATAGCCGGCAACTGGTCTGCCTCCCACTAGTTTTTAACACGCGTTTCTGTTTACTTACAATATATTTGTTTTGTTTATCTAAAAGGGCCACGATGTAAAGTACTGAGAAACCAGTAGTTGTGTTTACCCTATAAAGTTATCAGTTTATTTATCTATTTTATTATTATTATTATTATTTCACGGTCCAATTATCACCTAGCGTGACCTGACTATTAAGCGGTTTTCAACATTGAGTATCGAAAGTTATCAAGCAATTACTTTGGTTTTGGTTTTGGTTTTACTGCGCTTTCAGATTGACCGAGTAGTCTAAATTGCTAAGTGACTGTTTTGGTTCTCAATTGAAAATTGCTCTAGTCATAAATAGGCTAAACGCCTCACACTCTGGAACTTCCAGTGTTGCATGTTTAATAATAGTTTCGTCAAACAGGGAATTTTTAAATTTACCCTGTAACCGGTTACACAAGATAGTTTGCGATAATGTTCACTAAAAAGGGGTAACGTCACGACTCTCTTTACGTTACAATTTCCTTTCCGGAAAGCCGTCAGAATGCATGCGTGATCTATCACGTGATTATATGCTGTTTGAAAACGAAACCAGACGCAGGTTCCGGGAATATTAAGAATCACGATTTATACTTCCACCGAATGACTTAAACGCTGAAAGGATATGAACATCGACACCATTTTATACAAAATGGAAGACCAAAGGCTTGATGAACTGAGTGAAACTCAGAATGAAACAGAACCACTTCTTCGGCCCGAGTCATCAGCAACTTACTTACACTTCCGGCCTGGCAGAGAACCACAGCAGGCTAATAGATTCACTACATTCGTCCTGTCTGTTTTTAAAGTTACCTTCTGCTCGCTTGGATTGTGGGGACATCAAACATGGAACTACATTCCTCGAGTTCTATTCAGCGCAATTTGTATTTTTCCCACCGTTTTTTGGATCTTCAATTTCAACAGAATTTCTCGTCAAGATATTACTACGCCTGATACTAGTGCTGAAATAATATGTTTTACATTATTAGTTCCTCTTGCCGGTCTTCTCTCTTATATTGTTTTCACTGATTGTTTTATCGCAGCGGGGCGTAAAGACTCGGCCTTGGTATCTCCATCTGAAACGATGATGCTGGATATTCAAAGAACGGACATCTTCTTGTTATTTCTCGCTTTTGTTTTCATTATTATTTCTTTTTTAAGCACGTGGGTCCTTTCTCTCAAAATACAACCCACCGATGTCCCTGATGAAGCGGCTTTTACAGTACAGTACTTGGCTCATTGGACATCAGTCACCACTTGTCTCGTCTTCGCTGTCAGTTCCTTTACACTCGGTAAGTTACTTTATTTACATATCAAAATCATTACCCACAAAATTGGTGACTCTTACATGAAGGCATGAAGGTGGTACTATTACGCTTGCTCGTTGTGACCAAAATTCAAGATGGCGGCTCGTCCAAAAGTAGAATCGCAACCACCGAAGAGTTTTATTGACAAAGTTGAGCAACCAAAGCCTTGTGCTATAAAAAAAAAAAAAAGCCAAAAAAGGACAATAACCTCTACGATGTTGAAGTGACCGTGGTGGACAAGGACAAAAAATGCATGAAGATTCATGTCGGCCATGGAAATGAATTTGATGAGTGGCGTGATTTCAAATCGACAGTGATCAGTTACCATTTGTCCGCCTCGAAAAAACTTATGTTCCAGACGAAGAAACGTTAGAAAGCAGAAAGTAAATGTTTGACGGCAATTCATATAGCGCGATTAAGCGAAAACTGTGGTCTGACAGGAAAAAAGTACCCGGACGGTAGGAGTTCAGAATAGAGTTGCCAGTAGAACAGGATGTGTTTGACACTGAACTTGGTCAGGCAACGGGAAGTTACATTGAGAGAGGAAATTTTAACGATTGAATGTTCGAAAAAAAAATATAATAAATATTTATAAGTTTACTTACTTGTTGATCTCGTAAGTATACGAAGGAATATTCTGCCGGCTGAATTTCGCGTTTGAATCGTCATTTTGACCTCCAGAATGATCACCTACGGCGGTCACCGCCATGCAACACGCAAATACAACAAAGAAAACAAGATAGGAGATTTTCGAAGTTATTTTGCTATGCCGTAATTGATGCCAACCTCCACGAACTACATATCAAAATGCAGCAAATTTATTCCTGTGTTTAAATTTGGCGGTACATTTATTATTCCAAGTATGCGCTATCGAACAAGCCCAGTTTTCCTCGGTGCAGTGGTTTCCCGGCCGGTGACGCTTTTATAAATTTACCGTCAAACCCACGTAAGAAAGTGTTAAAAATGCCATGTTTAAATCGCGACAAAATCCTTCAGTTTATTATCGATAGTAGGTTACATATTTTTCAACTTATTTCTGGTGGTACATTTGAGAAAGAAATACTACTTTGGGAAAGAGAAGCAATATTCCACTCAAAGTAGCGTGTTTTTGGAACAATTTTAAAATTACCAGACGTCGGGGTCACGCGATACTGTGTATGGCAAACGTCGCAATGAATTTGATATGCATCACGAAGTCAGGCCATTTCATTCTTTCCCTAGCCTTCGCTCTTGAATAAAGCTTCGAGCAAATAATTACTGGTCATTGATCTCCGATATCTATAGGGAGAAAGGCGTATAGAAAAAAGGGAATCTGGAATCCGGAATTCGGAAACGAAACCGGAACTGGAACCGAAAATGGAACTGGAACCACAAATTGGAGATATTTTGAGGGTGTTACTGACAACTGCTCTTGTAAGACTTTTCATTTCCATATGTTTTATTCATTTTCCTGATGTCACGGTTGCTTTTTTGTCCGGGGCGAACTTTTTCTTTGAGAATTTCCATTACATGTGAATGATGCAACTTGGGATCGAATAACTGACATCAGTAGTCTGCCACCATTTGCTGCTGGCTTTCTTTCTAATGGAAATGCATGAAACACTGAGCTACAAATTAAAAGCACATAGAATTTTTCAATCTTTTCAGTTATATTCCGGTTCCGTTTTTGTTTTTGTTTCCGTTTCTGGATTTGGTGTTTCCATACGTCCTCAAGGCCCTACAGGGCTAGAGGGACAAGAATGGAGAAAGGCGGGAGGCAGATCTCGTTATATCGTACCCAGATCCCACTCATCGTATAGCGCAAAAACTAACTGTGGATCATCTGGGTCCGTGTATGGTATACTTTAAAATTCAGTTACATTGAAAACGTATTGTTATCAAAAATAGTTTTACAACTTTCCCACCTAATTTTGTTGTGTGGTGTAGTAAGATTGTAAAGGTTTCCAAAATCTGCAAAATTGGGTTTGAACTAAGACAGCCTCAGTATTACAACAAAATATAAATAATTAACTAGGTCAGCAACACAAACAGAAAAAAAACATAGGCACGCAAGGCGTGCAAGAGTTATTTTTTTCTGTGAAGTTTTGGAGATAGAAACATTC